GAGCGGCAGACGGCCAGCTCCTTGGGCGCGGGCTGTGTCTGTTTTTCCAGACAGAAAGGGAAAGTCGAGGACAGAAGAAGCTGCTGGGCATGAGGGCTGGGAGGACAGAGCGGGGAGCAGGCCCCGCGGGCGGGCGCCCGACAGCTCCTTCCACACGCAGTCTGCTCACACGCATGCGCGTGCACACACGCATGTTCGCTCACACTCGTACACACGGTTACCTCCATGAGCCCAACCGCACCTACATTTGTCCACATGCACAGCACAGGCCTCGTGGGTGCTCTGGGAGGATGCTGACCCACTGGCGCCTGGCCTGAGCTGGGGCAAAAGGGGTCGCCCTCTGACCCCTGCCAGTGGGAGCAGCTTAAGGCCCAGAGAGACGCCCCCCAGCATCCCAGGGTGGAGCAGGACAGCGGAGGTGCTCCAAGGCAGGGCAGGCCGACCTTCCGAGAATGAGGACTTCACTCGCTCTGGGGACCGGGAGCTGGGCTGATTCCCTGGCCTGTCCCCTGCCATCCAGACCCTCCCAAAGCCGGGGTCCGGGCTTGTACGGGGAGCAGCTTTGTTGAGGGGCCGTGGGCAGGGAGGAGACTCTGACTGGCAGGAGCACTTGGCTGCTTCAGGAAAGACCATGACAGCTGCCATGTGCCTCCTCGCCGGCTGCAGGCACACCTGTGCACAGGCCGTGCCTCTGAGCACACGCACACTCGGGGGGGGCGGGTACAGGGTACACGTGTGTGGGCGCATGTGCACATGGGTTGGACATGGGTCTGTGCGCGTGTGTGTATACACCTGTTCATGGCTGTACTTATGTGTGGCCTGGGCCCTTGCTCCTGTCTGTATCACATGTATGCAGGTGACTCCGGGGGTGAGCAAGCCAGTCCTTAACACGTGGGGCTGGACACATGGTGTGCACCCTACTGTTGCCATGCCTCAGACACACGTCTCAGCTCAGCCTCCTGCCCAAGAAGCAGGCAGCCCACACGAGGTAGGGTGGCTGTCCTCACCCAGGAAGAAGGCACCAAGGGGCATCGCTGCCACCATGTGGGCCCATGAGCACCCGCAGCCTCACCTCCCAACGGAACTACCCTGCTCCCGACACACACACGTGCACATGTGCACGCATACACGTGTGACATGTGCACACATGCCCCAGCACGCAGATACATGCACATAGCCACATGTGTACACATGTGTGTGCACGCCTGTATGGAACAGTGCATGTGCGCAGAGTACTGTGCAGCGCACTCACACGTGTGTGCTTTCATGTGTCATGCCCCAGCACGCAGATACATGCACATACCCACATGTGTGCACGTGTGTGCACTCCTGTATGCAACGGTTCATGTGTGCAGAGTACAGTGCAGCGCACTCACACGTGTGTGCTTTCATGTGTGTGTGCACACGTGCACTGTGTGGATGCATAGACACCATGAGCACGCAGACATGTGTAGGTGCACACACATGAGCACACAGATGTGTTGGGAGCACAGATATACATGAGCACACAGATTTGTGTAGGTGCACACACATGAGCACATAGACTGTATGGGTGCACAGACACACACATGTGCACACAGACGTATGTGATGCACAGACACACATGGCACAGATATGCGTGTGATGCAGATACACGCACGTGCACGGAGACGTGTGAAGCACAGACACACGCACGTGCACGCAGATGTGTGTGATGCAGATACACACACGTGCACGCAGCCATGTGTGATGCACAGACACACATGGCACAGATATGCGTGTGATGCAGATACACACACGTGCACGGAGACGTGTGAAGCACAGACACACACACATGCACGCAGACGTGTGTGATGCACAGACACACGCACGTGCACGCAGCCGTGTGTGATGCACAGACACACGCACACACTTTCGCATCGTAGTCGAGACTGGAGAAGAGAGACACAGCAGAGACATTAAAACAAACAGCAGAAAGTCGCCTGGGGCGGTGAGGTGGCCGGGCTGGCCGCCGTGCCCCCAGCCCTGTCCACTGCCCCACCTGGCGGGGAGCACGCGAGCCCCTCACTGCACCCCTCTGCCTGACTCGGGCCCCCCCGGCTGGGCCCAGGGGCCGGGGGCCGGGGGTGGAGGGCTCTTGCCTTGACTGCAGGTTTTTAATGCGGGACAGCATGTCCAGGTGGCCGGCCGAGTACTGCTCGATGACGTCCATCACGTCGTAAGGTCGCAGGCTCTCCTTGAACTTCCGCTTGGACACCAGGAACCTCATGACACTGGAGGGGACAGGGGGCCATGAGCCCCAGGCAGAGGCCACCATGGCTATTCCAAGCAAGCTGGCCCCAGCGTCCGCCTGCCTAGGGCCCTTCGAGAGTCTCTGGGAAAGTCCCCTGGACAACTCGTCCCTGCTATCAGGGCCACCCACCCGCCACATGCACTGGCCACTCTCAGACCCTCATCTGCCGGGAGCCATTCAGTGACCACTGTGACACGAGGCGCCATGTGAGCCACAAGGAGCCGAGACCGAAGGGTTGTCAGTCCTCACACCAGCCCTGGCGAGACAAGGTCCGAGGGACAGCGTGGACGCCGCCCTTGCTGGGCCTGTGAGGGCAGCGCCCTCACCCTAGACGCCCTGGCCACTCACCACACAGCCCGGATGCTGACTTTGAGGCCGGGGGTCAGGTCCTCAGTCACAAACTCGCAGTTACAGCTCTTGTTGTCGTCCACGACATCCTCCCCAGGGAGACTTGCTTCTGGGTGGAAGGGGAGGCAGCCCGTGAGGGGACGGAGGGGACTGGCCCTCTGGCTCTGTGGTGTCAGGAAACCCCGGCCGCCCCAACGCTCCAGAATCCACCCCGTCCTTTCTCAGCCAGCTCCCCGGCCGTGGCCCTGGGGACACACTGGAGGGTTAACAAGTGTCCCTGTGAGTGGACAGATGTGGACTGGTCCCTGGGCTGGGACGTGTCCACACCGAGGAATGATGATACCCTCTGCCACGGACGGGAATGGGCTCTGACCTACGGCCGCTGCCACATGGTGGAGCCCAGAAAAGGCTCAGGGAACGAAGCCAGACGTGGAAGGATGGACACCGTGTGGCCAACTGTGGCCCGTGTCCAGATACGGACGGGGGCCTGCGGGTGACTGGCAGCGGGGAGGGGGCTGGACTGTCCTGGGATGAGGCAGAGGTGGCACCACACGGCGCCAGAACGCGCCCGATGCCCTGGACCCCTCCCTCCGGGCTGCTGATGCTGTGTGGTGTGACAAAGACCGGGGGCGCCGTGTCCTGGGCCGTGCCCCAGGGGTCAGGCCGCAGGGGGCGATGGGCCACCCACCTTCCGAGTTCTGCCGGGACGCGGCGCCCTTGGCGCGGAAGGCCTGCCGAGCACGGCTGCGGTCCCCGAAGCTCCAGCTCTTGGGCACCTTGCTAGGGCTGTCCTCCAGGCTCTGGTCGGCACTGGGTGACCGCCGGACAGGCTGGGCCTGGGGGGACCCCTTCCCCTTGGCAGCCGCGCCGCGGGGGCTGGAGAAGACACGGTCTTTCAAACTGACCTTCTGACTGCTCCCATGGGGCGGACGGACAGGCGGACGGACACACACAGAGAGACAGCAGGAGAAGTCACTCTGGACAGAACCCTGGCACCCAGCACCTGCTGTCGGCCAACGCCAGCCCACGCGACAGAGCGACCCAGCCCCAGAGAAACGGGCTGAGGGGCGGCTGCCGGGGGGGATCGGAGGTCGTGGGGCAGGAGTGGGGCGCAGTGGGAGGTCAGCTCCACCACAGGCTCCCAGGTGCACGCAGGAGCCCAGCCTGGCCAGGAGGTGGTCAGTCGACCCTTAAGTCGCTTTTGGCTGCACACGAAGGGGCCAGGCCTCTCCACTGTCCTGCTGGGCCTCCCTCTCCGTGGCGACACCCACGGCAGACGGGTCCCAAAGTGCCCAGAGGCTGCGGCTTCTCCACAGGCAGCTTTGTGGACCAGGCCTCCCTGGCTTCCTCTGGCTCCTCCCACACCCCGTAACCACCCAGAGGCAGGAGGGTGAGGTCTGCGGCTGGGCCCTGGCCCCCCGCCAAGCCCCAGGGGCAGGAGGGCAGATCATGGAAGGCAAGCGCCCCACCGCCCCCCGCCCAGGCTCCACACCCACCCCCAGGACTCGTCCAAGGACCAAACGTCCCCTCCCAGAGGGGCGGAGTAGATGTGCCTGCACCACCAGCCACCCAGCCACTGACAGGCCTGCTGTCCCAAGCCCTGGCAGGCCACAGGGAGAGGGTGTGAGGTCCTCAGGCCTCCCCGTACCCATCTCTCGGTAACCATGGAGATGGGTCTGACTCTCCAGGCAGCAGCCAGGAGACAGGTGGTGGCCATGGTCGGAGGCAGCGTCTGGCCCAGGGGCCCGGCAGCCACTCGCTTCCTCCGCTGGGCAGTGTCCGCCACCCGCTCACGCCCAGTCGACTCCCCCAGGGTGGCCTCAGCAGGGCCCCTCGCTGCCCCTGGGGCCTGTGACTAACCTGCCCAGAGGGCCCGGAGGCCACTAACCCCTCAGAGAGCACCGGCCCCACCCCGGCCCTCAGTTCAGCCGCCTCCATCGGCCCCAAACGAGACCCGCAGCTGAGAGACGCCCATCGGACGCTGCGGACGACGACCACGAGGGACAGCACCCCGCCGCCCCGGCCGCCTCGCCCAGACACCACGGCCCTGGTCGGCGCCCCTGCCCGCCCCTGGGCAGCTGCGACCATCTGTGACACTTCGGGGTTCTCTGCAGGGCGGGAGGAAAGCCCCTCGGGCAGGTGGCCCCAGCGTGGTACCCAGGCTTCCTGTGTCCCATGACACAAGGACGGGCGGCAGTTTCTCAGGACACCAGCCCCGAGCCCACAGGCCCCACAACCAGCACGAGGCGTGACGGGCAGGTAGGGACCAAGGCACGGCCGAAGCCGCGCTCCCTGTGGCCTCCTTACCGATGACCGCTCCTTCACCCCTGTGCTAACAGACTGCCGGCTGCTCAGGGAGACCGTGAGACGCGATGGCCCCGCCCAGCAAGCGAACTGGGCCCTCTGGCCGCTCCTGCTGCCCCACGCAGCACACAAGGCCCAGGGGGCTGCTGCCCGCAAGGACTGACCGTCAGGGAGGAGCCTTCCCTGGCCAGGCCCGGCCCCGCCGTGCCCCTGCTCAGCCCAGGCAGGGGCTCCTTGCCAAGGGATGCCACAGTGTGGACACCTGGCCCTCCAGCCACCCCAGGCCTATCCCAACTCTAGGTACCCAAACGGCCGGTGGTCCTGCAATGTGGAACGAGGCCCCTCCTCCACCTCGCCTCGCCTTGCCTCATGAGCTAAGGACAGACGCAAACACGTGGGAGAGGGCTCGGGCCACCTGCCGGGAAGGAGCCACGGCCAGACACCCTCTGTGTGACAGGGTGCCTTCGAGGCACTGCACGTCGGCACTTACACAGGGTGAGGGGAAGAAAGCCGAGGTCCAGCCCTCCTTCCCCGCCTGCCCCCACCCCACAGGGCAGAACTCTAAGTATGTGGGGCCTGCTGGGGTGAAGCAAGGGGGAGGCCCCAGCTGGGATAGGCCACACCCCAGTCTGCACGGCTGGGGCCCAGCTCGGCGGGGTGGGAGCCGGCATCCACGGAGAACTGCCGGCCACGGCTGGACCGCGGATGCCCAGGAAGAGCGAGGATGGAGTGACATTCGTGAGACTTGTGCACAGCAAGACGGAGCATGGCCTGGCCTCGGCCCTTTGGTCCCCAAGCAACCCGACCACAGCTTCCGACCCTGCAGCCAGGAGCACCGTGGACCCAGCTCTGGACAAGCAGGACAGCCTCTGCCGCATCCGGATCTCCCCGCTCGGGACTGCAAGCTTCCCCCACAGGCACCCACGTCCGTGAACGCACAGGGGCATGGACAGGTGGGGGGCCCCCCGAGCCCCTCTCCAGGCGCAGGACTCAGCATGCACAGATGCAGACGTACGTGCATGCTGCTGCCTGAGCTCCCAGCCCCGCTGCGCAGCCCTGCTGATGCCTGTGCTCGGCACCGCTGCTGCCAGGGCCAGCGCCGACCGCATGCACGCGACGACAGGGGGGCAGCTGCCCACTGGCTGCAGCGCCGGTCAGGGCGGGGGGCAGGCAGGAGGGAGCACCCAGAGCAAGCAGGAGGACGGTGCTTCCACACCCCCGACAGCAGACAGTGGACAGAGAGGGGAACGGTCAGCCAAGGGGTCCGGGTGCAAGGGGGGGGTGGCCTCGCCACACCGTTTCCAGTCTGTCCTAAACCAGGCCCGCTCGGGGCAGGGGAGCCGTGCCCCCTGGCTTTCTGGCGAGTCTGCCGTGTGCCGTGTGAGGGCTGCGGGGAGCCCAGCACACACAGGACGAGCTGCCTCCGAGGGAGGGCGAGGTGGGTCAGGGCGGCCGTCCTCAGCTCAGAGGCGTGGCAGAGGGGCTGGACTGAGGCCGGGGCAGAGGCTCGCAGGGCGGTCGGGGACCCCGGGGGCCAGCACCCGTGCTGGGTCTCAGAGGCCTTGGAGCAGGGCATCCCTGGGCGGGGGAGGAGAGGGCACTGGACTCAGGGGGAGCCTAGTGCTCCCCGTGAGGGCCCCACAGGCCGAGCTGCCAATCAGAATCGGGGCCTGGGGGCGGCCTCCCAGCTCCTCCAGGACCTCTGCCAAGCAGCCGGGAGCGGGGAGCCGTGCAGCCATGGCCGACCGTGCGACGCGTGCACGGTACCTAGAGTGTCCGGGGCAGCATCCACACAGGCCCTCTCCGCGCGGTTTGCCTTTACTGCAAATGAGGAGAAGCACAGTTAGTCCCGGCCCGCACGGGACGCGGCGGGGAGCCTGGGCGGCATGGGCAGCGGGAAGCCGGGGCACCGAGGCACCGCCACAGCCCGCAGAGGGCTGGGCTCGGGGTCACCAGCCAGCCGCCGAGGTCACGGCCACACGAGGACAGCGAGGTGGCTGCACGCAAAGCCTCCCACCGGCCCGGAGAAGAAAACAGTGCCCTATTTTTGGAGAAAAAAAAAAAATCCCTGTTTCTTTCCTCCAAAAATACCTTTTCCTTCCAGAGTCGGAGTTTGGGGCCACGTCTTTTAAAAGATGTATTATTTTTTGCTGTATTCATGCGAACAAAAAAATAATACATGGGCTGAGACTTGGTACAACGCTTATTCTAGATGGACAGGGTCCCGGAAAGCACTCATGTTGGGGAGAAAAACGTGCAGTTTGGCTTCACAAACCGATCGCTGAGGCTTCACCGGGCCCGGCCAGCGCCAGATCTGAAGCGGGACTCGGTTGACCCGGGAGGCAGGGCTGCCTCCACCTGGAGGGAGGCTAAAGGCGGGGTCTGGGGGCACCTGGCTTTAAAAACAACTGCTGTAGCGGCTCGTCGCGGGTCCCAGAAAAATTCACCTGGGCCAGCGTACGTGAGCCTACGGGGGGCTCTGCGGGACAGGCACGACCAGCGGTCAGCCCCCAGGACCTCCCGATGGCCCAAGACTTATCTCTGCACTAGGACGCACACATTTTTAAGCAAATTGAACGCAGCAAACGAGAACCACACACGATTCCTTCGGCTTCTCCCTCCTCCTCCCCCTTCAAAGCTCTTGCCACTGAGACAGGGGTTCCCAAACTGTGCACCCGAGGAACCCAGCCACATGTGACAGCCTCGCAGAGGCCAGCCCCAGGAAGGAGGGCTCAGCACCCACATAGCCAAACACCAGTGGCACCTGCTGATGTCCAGATGCCTCTCCCCACTCACAAAGAAAGGACACAGCCAGCTAGCTGCAGCGAGCCAGCAGGGCAGGGCCTGCCACCTCCTGCCTGGGGGCTGAGAGCCGCTGGCCCTCCCTGCTGCCCTGACCTGCTCCCTGTGGGGCCTCAGTGACTAACAGGATGCCCAGACCCAGGGGAGAAGCTGGGGTCCGGCTGCCCTGACCAGTGCGCTCACACAAGGCGCCACCCTGTGACTTGGCGTCCCCAGGCCCGCTCTCCCCACTCACAAGGGCCCTCGAGTTTGGGCAGACATGTCAGCCACAGGGCCACCAGAGCCTGTGAGACAGCTAACAATGACCACCCCTCAGCCAGCCCGTCCTGGGGCCCCAGGCCTGCATGCAGGGACCCTGGGTGCTCTCTGCCTCCAGCTTCTTTGAAGGGTCCCAGCTTCGGCGAGCCCTCCAGCCAGCTTTGCTCCTGTAAACCTCCCAGCGTGGTTGCTGGCCTCCCTGGGCCCCCGGCCTCACACGCTGGGGTGCTCTCGCTGTGCTATGTAGCACGGCAACCCCCACGCCTGGCCCCTGATGCTGCGCTGTGTGGCACAGCGACCCCCATGTCTGGGCCCTGAGCACGTGACGGGGGAGCTCGTTTGCTGCTTCGTAGGGGGCAGGGCAGCTGGAGACCCCGACGGAGCTGGTGGGCTGTGGGGGTCCTCCCTGAGCAGCACCCCACCGTTTTAGGGGTACGAGGACCCCCAGCTCCAGCCCGCTCCCTCTTGGCTCTAGGCTGCCCACATCAGCCGACCAGATCGTCGCCCCGTCCGAGAGAGCTGCTGGCATCAACCCCAGGCACCTGGGCCCAAGAGGGTGGAAGAGGCCGCACAGACAGTCACCAAGACCAGACTGGACAGACATGCCTGTGACGATGGGGCCACACGGACAGGGGCAAAGCAGCTTCGGGCGGGGGCTCCTCCAGGGCGGAGGCAGCCAGAAGTGGGGAGAGACAGAGGCAGGGCAGGGCCACACCTGGAGCAGCACCGAGAGCCCCCTGGCTGCCCCGCCCCCATGCAGCTGGCCTTGGTCTGGTGCCAGCATGGCTGCCGTGCATGCCCACCTCCGGTCAGGCCCCGGGGGGTGAGTGGAGCCGGGTCCCTGCGTCCGCCTGCAGTTTACGGGCCAGGACCTTTTTTCGGGGCAGCCCAGGATGCCCGGCCCCCAAGGGTACAAGTGGCAGAAGTGTCCCGCATGCCTGCTACAGTGCTCAAAGGGGGGGCCGTGGCTAGCCCAGGTGGGGGGACGCAAACACTGCCCTCGGCCACCTGGCAGACGGCGTACCTCCCAGGAGAGGTGGGCTTGCTCCCAAGGCCTCAGCCCGGGTCTCCCAGGAGGATGCTGGGCCACCCGGCCTGGGGGAAGCCGCTGGGTCACAGGCGGGGACACACGGACACATGGGGGGAGACGGAGGGCGGGTGTGCGGGGAGCAGGGGGCGTAGGCAGAGCCTGGAGGCTCCCGCGTGTCCTCACCTTGAGTCCTGCTTTCAGGGTCAGCCACCTCATCCCCAAAGACAGAGCGGACGAGAAAGGGGCCCAGGAAGGGCAGTGACATGGTTAAAGGCACTTGGGGGCAGGCGCGGTTTCCAGATTGGGGAGGGGAGGGGAGGAGAGAGAGAGAGAGAGGCTGAGACTCGGGCATGGCCGAGGCCGAGCAGACAGGGCCATGGGCTCCGGAAGCCGCCGCAGGCCACAGGGGCCTCCCAGGCCAG